ATATGATTACATCGTCATAATATCAAGTCTACTTGTCTTTTGTGATAAGTTAGACTACCGGAGGCTTGGACCTTTTTTTATTTGTAGATAAATCAATCCAGTTGCTTATCGATTACATCTACAAGAATTAATAAAAATCTATTTTATATTCCACGTGTCTCTTTTTGAACCATACAAGATTATAAGCATACAAAGAAGAAGACAAGTTCTACCTTTTCTTGTAGAGGTAGACAATAATAAAGAGTTTAAAGTGGAAGAAGTTTTAAACTCAAGCCAACGCCAAAATAAGTTGAAATATCTTATCCATTGGTGTAGATATGATATTAGTGAACGCACATGGGAGCCAGCAAAAAATCTTACAAATGCAACAAAGAAAGTCAAAGCTTTTTATAAATAATATTTATCAAAATTAAGATGAATGATAAGAAATCTTTTCTTTAAAAGAAACATAATTTAGAAAAGATTACATTCTTTCTTTTATCCTTGTTTGTAATTTTTGTATAATTGTGGCATTACAAAAATAAAAAAAACCAATATCTGGCAGATTCAACTCTAGAGTCATTATTTGCTAATTTATCAAGTGAGATATTTTGATTATTATAGCCTTCAAGACAACATAATAGAGATGAAGACCTTCAAGAATAACATGTTTTTGTTTGTATAGATGGTGAGATATAATGCATTTGATATCATGACCTAAGAAAAGACTCTCAATGTTTGGTGATTTTATTGGAGGTAGACACGACTCTTGATAGTGTAATAAATATTTTGTTTGAAGGAAGTTAGAAAAGTTTCAACAATGATCAAATCATAGGATGGTCTTCCCACTTTGGAATAAGACATTACTAATGGCTAAAAGAACCTATCAACTACCTTCAAAAGAAACAAAGATTAAAGTACATAGGAAATATAATTTACTGCATCTTAAACTTCTTCTACATATGATCATTGCTTCTTATAGAACTCATCCTTAGAAGGAGAGATAATGTCATAAATATGTATTTATTGTAATTATTACCTAAATAATATAAATAAGTAGAAGTAGATAAAAATAAATTAATTTCATAATATCTTTTAGAAAAGCTTCTTAGAAGCTTCTTAGATGCTATTTTGACTTTATATATATTTGTAGTTGATTGGTAGGTTAAAAACTTGGTCAACAATCCATCCATATACCACATGTGTTGATAGCTTGCAAAACAAACTAACTATGTGGTGCCCATATAGAAAACTTGCCTTGTAAGTCAAGATATGTGTCATGCAAAGTTAACACATTTTTGGAGGTCCTATAGAACGTCACTACATAGATCCTAAATAGATAGTATATGTAATGGCAAGAATGAAGTCTTCTTCACTCTTGTCAATTCCTTTCTTGCTTCTAATCTAGATTCAAGAGTCTCTAGTTTTCTTATCTTTTAGCAATAGCCATTCCAATTTCCTTTTAATATACACTACTTCTTTATTTTTATTTTGTTACTTTTCTTTTGACATAGATTTCCTAGGTTCTTTCAATTCATGTCCTTGACATAAAAGCATATAAAAAAAATATATTTGACAACATTGGTGAAGAAAGTAATATTGTATTAATAAAAAACATAAGTTTATTCTAAAATCTCCTAAGTCTTAAACTTCTTTATTGTATTCTCAAAAAAAAAAAAAAAAAAAAAAAAAAAATACACTTTTTTAAGGACTTTGGTAGATACTTTTAAATATAATTTTAGTACTAACTGTTGACCTTCTATCTATGATGTAGTAACACTTCTAAGGTAAAATAAATTATTTTTTCAATCTTTAACAAATCTATTATAGATTAGAAATTTGTTTAGAATGTACATTAAACACAATGGTCCAATTTGCAAGTAATAAAGACCATCCTAATTCCATCTCATTTAAAAAATATTTCTTATAATTTTTTTTTATATTTTTTTGAATATGCCAAATGCAAAGTAATACATTTTAAGTAAGAAATACTTATTCAATGGCATATATTAATGCCAAATTTCTATGAATACTAATGCAAATGGAACAAATACCTCCATTTACTTACAAAAGTTGGATTATTACTCAATAAAAGAAAGATTTTGTTTCTTGTTAGAGAAAAAGCAATGGTAATTGTAAAAGAAGTATTAAAACTTTTCATTCCTATAATATGCAATATAGGCATTCTAAATCTATTTGTTTTGTAGGTACAATCTATAACAATAGGAAAAGAATATCTTTTTGTAAGACTAACATATTTAGAATGTATGAAAAATAAAAAAGTTACTTTACCTTCTTCACCACATCAATAAGTAAAATCATATTTAGCAGCATGTAAAGTTTTCATAAGACAAACAATTAGAAAGCATCAAGCAAAATAATGTGATGAAATTTTTATTATTTATGGTAAATAGTTTGAACAATAGTTTTACTATTAGAATTACTCTCTTATAGCACAATGATAATATTTTTTAGTGGAACTCTTATAGCAAGCAATCATGTAGCGAATTCTGTGTCTACTAGTTGAAGATATTGAATAAATAAATAACCTAAAAGAAAAAAAGAAAGTCTATGAATATGAAAACTATTATGAACTCTTAAGTGCCATTGTATATTATTCTAGAAACAATAAACATGTAATACAAATGGACACCCAATCAAGCGACTTACACTATTTCATTGATGAATATGACAATTTTGGTCATAGTAAACTTGTCTTTTGTCACACTTAAAGTTAATGCAATTTTTGTCAGAATAACTTTTGTAAATGACATATCTTTTGTTATATACAACTACATCTACATTATCTTTCATTTCTTTTATCCCTCTACTACTGCAAACATGTATCCTTCATTTTCTATTGCAAGATCAAAACAACTATAGAATATATAGTTCCTTCTCTTCTACACACTACACACAATGTAAAAAATAATAAACTATAATATAAGATTATCACAAAGAAGATTGAGTATAAATACTTATAGATGTAATAAAGAGAAGCAAATGCAAATAGACATTGGTAGTAGCCATTGGAAACCATTGAGAATTATTAAGATGTACAAAAAAAAAAACATGATTATATTTATCCACTTGATGTAGTTGTATATTACAAAAGATAACACCAAATGATGGTGTTAATAATTAAGTTGATGTATACAAACCATGTACTGATTTGTGATGATGGGTGGATCACTTTAATAAAAACATGGGTTGCTTTGACATTCCACTATATATATATATATATATAAAAATTTGGAGTACTTTATTCTTATATATATACATATAAGAATAAAGTACTCCAAATTTTTATTCAATAATTGTATGTTGTCAAAATTTGTTATGCTATTCCAAAGAGACTTGAATTCTATTCACTATAACAGTACACACAATTTTGTTGAAGTAATATAGTTGTACAATACTCTAAAGCCATTAAATACAGATGAGAAGACTAAGATAATTTTTTTCCAACACTACAACAGATAATAGCTTTGACCTACACACATATCACTATTTTTAAAATGATATAACAGAATGGCCTACATATCCAATCAAGGGCAAAAGTTCTTACAGGATTCTTAAGGATTTGATTATATTTAAATGAAATATTAACAAATTGGAGATTGATCACAATACCAATTGAAAGGACATTTAGTTTATGCAACAGACAATTACAGAAGCAATGTTTATCTACATAATTTATCATATTGACGTTGCAGTAAATGTGGATGATACAATCTAACAAATATGATTCGTTCTTATGCTAATCACATATGGGGACGACTAAAAATCATGTTCCACAAATTTTGAAAACGTTTCTCGTAAAAACAATTTGTTTCTGATAAACACATCGCTTGAGTCGAGATTCTCAGCGATGTGATCACTATTCTAAGGTTCTTGTTTTCAGACAGTGCCGATATTACACAATGCGCTTCCTTTCAGTAGCACAGCATACTAAAGTACTATTTCGTAAAATCCTACTATTGTAGAACAGTTCAGTAGAAAACATCAGGTGTCAGCAAAGGTAATACTGGTAAATCCGTCGAAAAACGGAGCAACCGGATTACATTAAATTTTGCAAATATGAACTGGCGGTGTCCGCCTCACGTGTGCTGGCTTTACCCTAGTCCTTTCAATTGTCACAAACTCTAAGTCTTCTCATCGTAACCCTAAGTCGACTTTTGACGCAGGAGGACAGGCCTGAAGAGCTGTCAACCCCGTTGCTACGCTGTATTGTTCAGAAATTAAGACATTTTCTTTGCAATGTGCATTATACGGTTTATTCTCACTATCATCTCAAGCGAGGGCACAAAGCTCCTAACGACGGCTTACCTGTTCTATTAAAAATATTAGCATTCTATGCTTGGGTTAAGGCCCATCGTCGCGAGGGAATCGAAGCTGATCGAATCAAAGGTAACTAAACTCAGAGTTCCAATGATATCTCCGTCAGAGAAGTTCATTAAATTTTATCCCTCCACAGTGTCTCCACTTCAAGCGATAGGTTTACTTCTCATCACCCGGCATGTCTGATAAGGTAACCAGACTACTCCTACAAGTCCATCGCCGTATCCCAAATGCATTATGGACAACTCTAATACGTCCTCGAAGCATCCCCAGCAGATCATACACGCACATAGAAGCCTACAGTATGATAAACCAACACGCTGAATCCATGGGATAAGCAGGTCAGAGAGATACAACAACCTCCACATGAAATAAGACAGCCAACACGATAGAACTTGATCACTAAGCGAGTTGTGCAACAATATATAGGTTGCACGAATGAGTTGAACGGCGGGATGAAGGTTCCGGAGACGAGCATCGCATTATTAGGGCTAGGTCAAACTCATCCAACGTCCAGGATTCTTCCATTGGGATATTTAAGGTCGAGCAGCAATCTACGCTGTAAGAGTATATGTTCGCTTGTTTCTGATCGTCAACCTCATTATTGTGTCTTGTAGGATTAGGGCGTGTGTAGTGGTAGATAGCTGGGTTGTTATTTGGAGTGTTAAAAGTCACGTCTAGGTTGATGATGATAATCCCACTGGCTTGCTTCTCAAACATTCGCAGTGGCCACCTAAAACTCTCGCCTGGCCGGGCTTGAGAGTTAATGCTGCTTCCAAACCTTCCTTGGATATCTGAGACCACTGGTCAGTCGTCTCTCACTGTCGGCGAAGGCTGTGATTAGAAACTACCCGCGCTTCTGAGAGGAAACTCAGTGAAGCAAAGAGATAACATGGTTAAATTTCTTTAGATGAGCCTTCCGGCTAGTCTTGCCTGTCGTAGGGTTTAATGGGATTGTCACAGTCTAAGGACGATGGGGCTTAATTCCTCTATTAATGCATTGGTTTTTCCAAGCCACTCAGCTACGCGCCATTAGACTAGAGCCCCCTTCACTTCACTTGATGAAGAGACGCCTCAAGTGACACCGTAATTTGGGTCTGCTGTGTAATTTAGTTAACTCTATCCACCCTCGAGGCGGAACCCCTTTCTCAAAATGAGGTTGAGTCCTACTGTGTGTAATAACTTTAGGAGCATGATGATTTGGATGTTTCATCTAAGTCCATCTCTGTTCAGAATTCACCGTCAACCCACGTCCAAAGTCGTTCGTTTGCAGCCATTGCTGTGATTTAGTGCATTTGATCGTACTCTTAGATAGGTCAGACACCAAATACCACGAGGAAACGGATTTGAGCTTCTTCAGTCGATCCGTGGAGTATGTTGGTGAAAAAGCTTTTGGGCTCTCGCCAGGTGGCTGGAATCCTGGCGGGTGTTTGTGCAGGTGTAGATGCAGTAAATGGTGTCGTTCCAATTTGGTTTAAGTGGACGTCCAAGTAAGTATGCTGAGGCATAGATACTTGGTGATCCTTATGCTTTGGTACTAACATACTTCGATCAAAATGCACCTAACTGGTGCACCCGTCTTCAGGGTGCTGACTGAGTTGGTTATCCTCCAATTGGCGTATGTGCATCCTAATACAGCTTTGAATCGAGGCGATCCTCTTTCAAGTTCATGGACATTCCAAATTCAACCTGTAATTCACCAGATTATCCTTGCGACCTCCTGTCTATTTCCAACAAATTATAGTCGTCTTCACGTCTATCGGAATCAAAAGACCTAGCTGACACCAGGTGTTGTACTCTTGAGATGTTGGAAAAGGATAACTCAATTGACCCGGCAAATTCAGTCACCAATTGGCTGTGTACGAATCCCGACCTGTCTGGTCATTCCAGTTGCTAAATGTCAGAGCAGGAAGCGATCAAGTCAGGGCATACACAACACGCAATTATAAGCATCACCAGCCACCGTGGTACGTGGATGCTGTGCTCCGTACCTCTCTACGAAGGAATTATTACACCAGCAGATCGCCCCCAGTTCAAGCTCTCAGTGATGGATTCACAACCACAACTGCTGAATGGAAGGATCGAATTCATACCCAATAATTGGAAGAGAAGAAAGCTGTGAATCACACGGAATAATGAATATTACAACATTTACTCGCTATTTATCACAAATATTAGTGATATTTTCACTCGTAGCTTAGCGGCGAGCACAACTAACTTTGGAGACAATCCGTTTCGTACACACCAAATTGAAGTGTGTTGATTTTTGAGCGTACATTCTTGGGTTCTCCTCCAGGAGATCTCATCCTCACAAAAGATGCATTTCATCACCTTCTGTTTCTTCTATAAGTGCCAGATCGGCTAAACCATCGAGCCTCATCACCAACTTGACCCATTTCAAAAGCAACCAAATAAGCAGAAGTTCTAAGAACTCCCACGCACATCATCGAGGGATTGCACGAGCCGTCTAGGTGAGTCTTGAACGGAGTAGCGGTGTGCTGCTCTAGTAGTATTCAAACCTCTCAAAGACGAAATAAACAGCAAATTGCTACTAAAATCTCTATAGGATTCCAACTATATGCATGATGAACCGACTTTTGAACAATATCTTCGTCAAAATTTTACATGAAGACTCCACTGATAATACGTTCCAATGTTTAGACGCCCTGATTTATCTATTTTTTGTCACCGTTGGTTGGGAACGACATGAGGCGCTGCGAAAGTCTCGCTCTTTTAGAAGTTTCAACCTTATGTCTATCCCCCAAGGTTGTCGATGATTGCCTTCGTGTAGTCGCTGCAGGTGGCGGAACCTCCTAGATCACCTGTTAGGCACTTTTCCTCAGCGATGGTCTTCAAAACAGACTTGTGAATCAGTTCTGCAGATTCGTCCAGCTTCAGATGTTGGAGCATCATCACTGCGCTCAACAAAATGGCTGTAGGGTTTGCCAAGTTCTGGAACCCAGTGCACATTTATCAACAATTCGTTAATATAACTCAAGCAGGCGGACACATTCAACTCCTAAACAACAGAATGATTATTTGAGCATGATGTGCTGTAATACCTTCCCAGCAATGTCTGGGGCAGTACCATGCACAGCTTCCATGAGTGCCAGTCCCTTATCTCCAATGTTACCACTGCAACGAAGATCAAGAGTTCAGGGTTTGGGATGATACTAAACACTTATTTCGCATGTAAAGATTTATGGGGATGAAGGTCACCTTGGTGTCAAACCCAACCCTCCAATCAGACCAGCACAGAGATCACTGATAATGTCTCCATATAAATTAGGCATCACCAAGACATCGAAGAGTCCCGGATTTTTTACCAACTGCATCACAATCACGAGTCCATGACAGGAAGAATGAAACGTTTGCGCTTAAGGAAATCTGGCATTACAGGAGAATCTTTCAAGGTTCCTCATCTGTGGATTGCAGCCGCACATTGCATTAAACGGCAAGCTGTGGCCTGACATCATGAAATGCCAGATTGAGTGCTTGACACTAACCATCATGCAACAATTGTCGATGATGACCTCCTCATAGACGATATCAGAATACTTCTCGGCTACCTCTCTACAACACTGTCATGTCCACAGTACGCATGTTAAAACCGTTTAAACGTTCATGTAGGCAAGATGGTAAGATCTTGAACCAAGCTATAAATAGTCACAGGATTCACAATCCTCGAACACATGAGAAACATTGCCACGATTGAAGAGAAACGGGATACAGTTCACTTGCCTGAAGGAACAGACCATCAGTTTTCTTCATGATATTGGCTTTATGAATGGCTGAAACCCGTTTTCTACCATGAAGTTTGGCATAGTGGAAGGCATACTCAGCAATGCGTTTGCTTGCATTGTGGGTGATGATCTTCAAGCTCTCCACAACACCTTTCACTACCTAACAAAGTATGCCCCATAACGAACGAGCAATCTATTTCAGTTTTGCAACTCTATTGCGTCTTCAGTGGAGCTCATCATATTGGATCCATTTATTGGACAACACTCACTACCCCAGATAATTTGAGGACCTGAGACCCACACTCAAAACGCCCACGAATCGTGGGTTCACAATCAGAGATTTGTCGTCACAATTATTTCGATTTCACAACGATTCGTCACTCACAGCATTTGGGATAATTACCCTCCAATAATTCTCACTTGAGAGCCGTTCGATATACCATCATGCAAAGTGAGAATTGAACGGTGGTCCACACTTAATACGTCAGATTTTAACGTTGTATAATTATTGATTGAGAAGAATGGATCTTAAACAAGCTTCACAGGAGCCAATAGGAGTAACTGAGGATTGAAGAAATTTGCAAATACCTGGTGCTCTAAGCCACTGTACTCGCCCTCTGTGTTTTCACGAATGGTGATAAGGTCCACGTTATCGTAGCGTGTTTTGTAGCCAGGAATGCTTAAGCATGGCCGCACATTAGCATACAACCCGAGCTCTTTTCGTAAGGTCAAGTTCAAGGACTTATGACCTTTACCAATGGGAGTGGCCATGGGCCCCTTCAGACCGATCCCGCACTGTCTCACTGACTCCATGCTATCCCATGTGATGTAGCTTCCTGTCTTGGGATCCACTGTCTTGCCTACGAAGTGAACATCCCATTCGACTTGCACTTTCACGGCATCAAAAATCTGCAACCACGTATCATCATCGAATGAACCACGGCTGCGTTTACAAAACCTATATTATGCCGTTATTTGACAAATTCTCAAGAGGTGTTTAGGGTTTCGAAGAGCCCAATTCTAACGCTGCAGTTTAATATTCTGATTTCTTTTTTAGGAAAAACTTCTCAATAATGTTGCTGGATTGCTCGAATGAGCTGAGAAGATAAGTGAACCTAACCCCCATTTGAAGAAGAGACAGGATCTGATTCTTAGAAAGAATTCAACTTGTTATGGTACATCCTTCATACATTGTTAGACCAAGTTCTTGTTTATTGATACAAGCGACCAAGACTCATAAATTCAGCCCTTCCTCCATTCAATGCTTGCTCAGAGATAATTTAATTTGATCTCATAGGAAGTGCCCAAGGGTCTGAAGATCAGAAGTTGAAGTTTGGAAACCACATAACAAAAATATTGTGGGAATAATAACCTGTTGTCCATACAGAACTCAGATGATGATCAATTGATGAAGGAATTGCTGCAAGCAACCGAAGAAGTGAAAATATCATCAGAATAAGAAAAAAAAAAAAAAAAAAAAAAAAAAACATAAGCAGGTTATCGTCACCTTCTTCACTGATTCCGCAATCTCGGGACCAATTCCATCACCCGGAAACAAAGTAGCCTTGATACTTCCGCCACTCGAAGAAAACTCCCTACTACAAACGCTTTTGTCAGCACCTTGCTTCGGAAATTGCAACGCAGCAGCGGCAGGGGAGGTGAGTAACCCAGTGGGACCAGGACCAGGACCAGGACCAGAACTGAAACCCGGTGGCAGGATCAGCGAAGGAGCTACGAAGTGGTCTCTTCCCGATAGACAGACGTGGTTAACCACAGACAACGCCCTCCGAAGTAACGATTCAGGGCTCCCCGGCGCCCGAAAGGCCATAATTGGCAGTCACTGCAACACCCCCACAACCCTAAAATTTTCTTCCTCACTGCAACTTCTCTCGGAAGGATTTCAGAGAGATATATATATATATATATATATATATATACACATATACACAAATAGAGCTCACTCTTGTTGATTAATTACTATGAACTAAAACAAACACTCCGGGAGTTGGTTCTACAATTCTCTGAGAAATCTTGAGAAAGCTTCGAATGAAACTGGGAATTGGGCCTACATAACTCCAGAAAAACTGCACATGGAACACTCTAAGAAGAAGAGGAAGAAGAAGAAACCATCACCACTACTTCCATTGCATTGCAGTATCCACAAACTTGAAGTTTATGAAGAGCCTCCCTCATCTCGTACCAAAGACAATACAGTAATCTCCGTCACAGCCATAACAAAGCATAGCAAAGCAAAGCACAGCAACTGTCTCGCCCAACCCAGAGTAGTCCCAGCCTCCGGACATAGCCGTGGCACCCCCCGCCCCCAGCGCCACTTGGCCGCAAAGTTTTATTACACTTGTTCTACGTTGTTAGTTAATGCATAATAAGTATGTAGGACATGGGTAAAATGTTATAACGGTGTTGTTGTTGTTGTTGTTGTTATTATTATTGTTATTATTATTATTTCCCTTTGTTTTATCCATGGTTAAAAGGGATTGGCAATGTGATGAGAAGCAACCCAAGGAGAGTTTCTAGAGGATGTTGAAGTGGTGCAAAATGGAATAAGTAGAGAGATGAAGTTATACATGGATGAATGATTGAATTTAAGAATTGATTTATTGTATTTTGACTGGATGTATACAAATACATAAAAATTCATAAAAAAATTATATATTTATAATATTTAGAAGTCATAAAGAAGTTCATAAAAATATGAAGAAGTTCTAAAACATTAAAAAAATTAATAAAAATGTTATCATTAATTTTGTTGATAAAGAAGAAAGAATGTTATCATTAATTTTTTTAATAAAGAAAAGAAAAAAAAAAAAAAAAAAAAAAAAAACATAAGCAGGTTATAAAATTAATGATAATATTATTGTTGTCTTTAATTTTACTATATGTAAAGATTAAAAAAATTACTAAAAATTTAGTATTAATCAATAGAAAAAAGTACTATAATAAAATAAAAATCAAATACAAACAAAATCTAATAATTTTTTTATAATTTTTTTATCTACATATTTATAAAATAATTTTAAGAAAATATTTAAGAAAATAAAAGATTTTGTAACTATTTTTAAAATTATGTTGGTAATAATGCTATAGAAAATTAAAATTAATAGCCATTCTATAGATTCTTTTAATATTATTTTTTATCTAACATATTTAAAGATCTTGAATTAATTAAAAAGTTATACATTAATATGGTTGTTACTTGCAGAAGTAATCAAATGGCATGAGGTGAGAACAACAAGCAGGAAGATAAGAGGCGCATTGACAATGTAGCCACAAAATGCAAAGGCACCTCTCAAGTACAGACTAGAGAAGCAAAATATTTAAGGATTGAAGAAATACCATACTAAGCAGTTCAGAATTAGCAAAGTGAATATAGTATTACCACACAATAAAACCTTAGAATAGAATAGTACTAGATTAGAAGTCCTATAATTCTAAATTTTGGTAATAAACTACATCATTTACATATCAATGTGTGTTGTTGGTTGTGGTTTTACAAAGTTTTGTCTTGTGCTTGCTTGCAAATCCTAAAGCTCAAAAAACCATGACTGAAGTTAAATCTTACTACTAATCTTTATATTGTATTTGTAAACCAATAAAAAAAATAAACTTAAATATAAATGCTTTGAGCTCTAATTAGTGATAAGTAAAACTTACAAAAAAAACATAAAAACAAACAATTTTTTTTCAAAACCATTTAAAAAGAAATCATAAAATTTATAATATTCTTAAATAAGTGAAAATAAATTAGTATTACTATTAGATGTAATTTTAATATAAATTATGGTAAAAACATTCTAATACCTTAAACATTAATGAATCTATTACAAGATTTATTATTTATAATATAAAGTTAGATTAATAATAATTTTTGATAATTTTTATTAAAAATATCATTAAAAAATAGTATTAATATGATAAAATTGATATACTAATATATCAATTATAATTTAATAATACTATGTCTAATAAAATAAAATATTAAAATTAAAATTTAGTAAAAAAATATTTTTTATTTTAATTATTAATTTTAAATAATCTAATTAGAATTTTTTTGATGTGTATTTTTTAAAAAAATTAAAATATATAAACAAAAAAAATATTTGAAGTCAAATTTTAATAATTTCTTTAGTATATATTCCATCAAAAGTATAAATCAAGACAAAACTCTTTCAAATAGAAATGTGCCTATGAATTTAACTTGAATATATCTATTAAAGTATTTTAAAAAATACAACTTTGAATAGAGCTTAACTTGTTGTAAAAATGTTTATCATTTTGATCTTATTCTATCAAACTTCTCTTACAAATTATTCTTTGTCCCTCTCATACTTATAATAATAAGACTTTTTGGATTCAATTGTGAGGTTTATTTACTTTTTTTTCTCAATTGCACAACTTCTTGGCATAAATATTAAATTCAATTGTTGACTTATTTGATAGCCATAGGAATAGTATCTATATAATTGACATTGATAATATATGTGATTTCTACACTAAGAGTATTGACAAGATTATGAAGATCTACAGTAGTTACAGATCTATTTTCACTTTTGCCAAATTTAGAATCAATAATTTTTTCTTCTACCTTTAAAAGAGACAACTTTGAAAAATCCATTAGTCCAATTACAAGAAAGAAATCTACAAATTCTATTATCAAATAAAAATTTCTACAAAGAAGTGTAGTATCACGGCCATAATCATGTAAGCTAATAATTACATATAGAAATAGGTAGAAGTAAGTAAAAGTAGATAAAAGTAAGTTAATTCTATAATATTTAATATAGAAGCTTCCTAGAAACTTTCTAGATGCTGCTTTGACTTCATGGGTGTCTTTAATTGACTTTTTGGATTAGAAACGTGGTCAACAAGTTGGCCATGTGCCACACATGTTGTTAGCTTGAAGATCAAGCTAACTATGTGGCCCACACGTAGAAAAACTTGCCTTATAAGTCAAGGCATGTGTCCTACAAAGTCAACACATATTGGAGGTCCTATAGAACGTCGCCACTTAGCCCCTAGTTAGATAGTATATATAGAGACAAGAGTGAAGGCTTCTTCACTCTTGTCAACTCCTTTCTTGCTTCTAGTCTATTTTCAAGGGTCTCTAGTTTTCTTGTCTTTTGGCAATAGCCATTCTAGTTTCTCTTTTCAATATACATACTTATTATTCATATTTTGTTAATTTTCTTTGAGTGAAGGCTTACTTGTCTAAACTGTTTTTTCATCGAGTTCTTGTCCTTGACAGATTGACAAGAGTTACACTTACAATATCAGAGCTTTGTTTTTCTTGAGTGAGAGTGGATTACCCCTTTCTCTTGACAAGACATAAGCGTATTAGAAGTTTGCAGATTACCCACTTCTAAACTGATATTGTTCTTAGTATCTTCTTTGTTATCAAGTCTTTCTTTTCTTTTGTCTTGAGCAGTATCAAAAAAAAAATTCTTCTTAGTGTCATTATGACAGAGCTTGTTGAAATGAAGAGTACAATGGCATAAATGCAAGAGCAAATGAGGGAGTTAATGCTTGCGATGCATCAACTCAATTCACCAACACATGAAAGAACAAGAATAGCAGAAATTGAGGATATAGAGATGAACGGAGCTGCTTCAACATCTACAACAAATCACGTTCCTTCTCCAATTGTACAACACCCTGTAAGCACTAGAGAACCAAGAATTGCCTTACCCGAGAAATTTGATGGTACGAGATCTAAGTTTCGAGGGTTCATCAATCAAGTACAATTGGTATATGAACTTCAACCGCAAAGCTATCCAACTCTAGGATCACAAGTCAGGTTTATTGGCACTCTACTTTCTGGTTCTGCATTATCATGGTTTTCGTCTTTTCTTGAACAACGAAATCCAATATTGGATAATTTGGAAGCTTTTTTGGCAGAGTTTCGATCTATGTATGGTGAACACGATGCAACTCGTGTTGCAACAAATAAGATCCGAATTCTGCAACAAAGAAATCGCTCAGTAACAGTGTATGCTTCACAATTTTGACAACTTACAATTGACATCAAGTGGGATGATGCTGCACTCATCAGTCAATTTTTTTATGGATTGCAATACGAAGTAAAGAAATTGATGCTCAACTTACCTGATCCTCAAACTTTGAGTCAAGCAATCGATTTTGCGGTAAAATGTGATAATCGACTTTTCGAATTTCGATCTGAGAATCATTCACAGGAACCTCAACGTTATTACTCAATGGCAACATCAACATCTTTGCCAAACGTACATTCGGAAGTAGAAGACATGCAAATTGACACGGTACGTTTTAAACCCCTAACTAAGCAAGAAAAGATTCATCGTCATCAAGAAGGATTATGTTTATATTGCGGAGAACCTAAGCACACTGCTCAACATTGTCGAAAGAAACGACGCAACTATAAAATGAGGGGTACGACGGTCAAAGAAAACAATATGTCGGAAAACGGATTCGTCTAGCTACAATAAGGACCGTGCAGCTGGAACCTTGTACAATTCCTAATGAAGGTCCTATCCTCTCCTCAGAACCCTCTCCTTGTTTTATAATAGACTTATATTTAGGACCTAAGAATTACAAAGCCTCTGCTTTATTAGATTCGGGAGCCTCAGTATGTTTTTTAGATGAACAATTTGTTAAAAGTCGTAAAATACCCTTTGTACAGAAACCTAAACCAGTACATGTAGAAGTCATAGATGGTCGTCCCTTGTCTTCTGGAGATGTCACTCATGAAACTCATCCTATAAAAGTAACAATAGACGGACATGATAGCTACATAGCTTTTAACATAATTAAATCCTCATCCAATCCAGTTATTTTAGGTTTATCCTGGCAAGAAAAATATAACCCTCGAATAGATTAGAATTCGCGTAAACTTGACTTTTTCCAGAGCGTTATTAATAGTTCTACTAACCAAGTAAAAAATTATAAGTCTAATATAGTAAAACCCCTACTGATAGGTGCAAAAGCATTTATACACGCAGCAAAAGAAGGATCAACTTTTGCTATTTATGCTGCACCTATTTCTGAAAACGTAAAGACTTCAAGTGGGATTCCAAGTCAATATCAGGAGTATGAAGACGTTTTTGAGAAAAAGAATGCAGATATTCTTCCTGAGAATCGCCCATATGATTGTTCAATGAATCTCAAGGAAGGAACTCAGCCACCATTTGGACCAATTTATAGTTTATCGCAAGATGAGATGGCTGAACTCAAGACATATATTGACGAGAATTTAGTGAAGAATTTCATACGCCATTCAAAATCTCCAGCAGGAGCTCCAATTCTATTCGTAAAGAAAAAAGATGGATCTTTACGAATGTGTGTTGATTATC